CGGCGTCCCGCCGGCCCCGGACCGCGGCGTCAGCGACCCTGCCTCGCTCTGCCGCTGACGGCAGCGGCAGTCAGTCAGAGCTCCGCAGACCTGGCGCGGGGAGCCGGGCCAGGGGAGGCACTGACGGCGACGAGGAGCGCCCTCTCCCTCCCAAGCCCGGCGGGTCGGCCGGCCTGGCCCGCTCACCTTGTGGCTCTGATAGGTTTCGAGCGCCCGGATCGCCGTCTCGGTGAGTTTCACATGCAGTACCGTGATGTTGTCCTGTCCCAGCCGCCCGCAGGACAGCCCGTAGCGCTGCTCCTCCCGCAGGCCCGCCGCCCCCCCTGCCGCCATCTTAAACTCCCCGGGGTGCCGCCGCCGACGCCGCTCGGGCTCTAGCCTCCACTGCGGCCGCGGCTGCTCGGGCTTCTGCAGCCGCCGCCACAGCTACGGCCATCCCGCTGCTGACGTACTGTCATATACTGCGCGCAGCCTGATCTCGGACTGCCACCGCCGACACCCGCCCCACCCTCCGGCCCGCGCCCCGCCCCGGGCTCGTTCATTGGCTCGGTTCCCCTTGAGATCCGCCCTCATTGGCCGCCCTCCACACTCCTGGGGGCGGGGCCCAAAGTCTCAGGAGTTTTGCTCCCGGACGGGACTTCAGAGAGGTAAGAGACTGACGTCGAGGTGACGCGTCAGCTTAATCATTTCTGACGTCACGTCTGGTCGTCTTGGTCTGTTGGCTGCGATTGGCCAGGCTGGTTTGGGAGAACCTCGGTTAACGGGGTCTCCGGGTGGCGGGGTCTGATTACCCAAAGACCCACCTCTACTCCTGAGGGGATAGTAGTGAAGACTTGGGGGAGTAAGGGAGACTTGTTTTCTCAGTTAGTCGACCATGGCGCCGAAGACCTCCACCCCAAATGTGTGACGGAGAACTTTGTTCCCCGACGGTTGCGGAAGCTTGGAGTGTTTGGTGTGCGCGTGTGAGGGAGGACGGAGCAGGTGGCGCTACTGGAGAGCTTTTCCTCAAAACTAAGTGTAGTGCTGTTGTTGAGCAGATGGAATTGGGGAGGATGATTTAATGCGATATCTCACCCTACACTTACTCAGTCGTCCCGAGGCTTTAGGAGTTGTGCTGGATTGTGTGGGAGCATGTTAAGTACATGCTCCATTCCTAAGGCCGAAATACCTTCAGTTCGGTGGGCGCGGCATTATAGAACATTGAAATTCAAGGTCTTTCCCTCGTGCTCCGTTTTGGTCCCAGAGGATTTCCTCAGAAGCTCACGAAAGGGCCAGGGTACCTTTTTTGTGGGACTTGAAGAGGTACTCCTGGTTAGGGTGGTGTCATGGGAGCAGAGAGCTGGCTTTCACCTAAATGAAGAGAAGCACGACACCGCTCATTTCCCGGTCCTGTTTGAGTTTTGCTCATTTTATTTGACACGGATATGAGAAAACTAGTTTGGGCATAAGCTATTGAGGTTAAGCGGAGGAGATGGGAGATGGGGGTGTGAAGATGAGGGCAGGCTGGGCATACTTTCCATTCCTGGCAACCTTGGGCCTGTAGGCGTGGCTAAGGGAGGGAGCCTAATCAAGAGTCCTTTTCAAGCTCTGTGTGGACAGACTGACAGATAAGCTTCCCCTCTGAGAGTCTGAATTCATTAGATGATCAGAAACAACAGACTATAGATAGGTGTGAAGCCGTGGAGTGGTAGTTCTTAACATTATTTTTCTGAAATTTGAGATGCTGTTTCCCTCAGATTGCGTTTCACAGGGATTCCCCAGAAAAAATTTATAGGCATTTAATCAGTAGTTCCCATCCTTTAAAATTGGATAGGGCTATGATTTTTCCAGAAAAGTCCAAGAGGGAGTTTTTCATGATTCATCCCTTCCCCACCTGGATAAATCCCTTCTTAGACTACAGACCCTCGAGGATTGTATGTATTTAATGTGAAAGATCAGGCAAATTCTTCTTCCATAGAGTATGGGTTAAGTGAAAACACCTGTATTACAGCGCTGACTCCATTACACAGAGTATTTTTTAATTGACTTCATTTTAATCCACTAGAATTGGCTAGCTGTTAAGATATGATTAACACTTGTTAATTTAGTTTACTAGAGTGTTAATTATCTTAAATTCATTGAATAGAGAAATTAAGTCAATCACAAAAAAACTCTAAAAATAATTTTATACTTTAATTATTTTATTGTGTTCGCTTCACTTTGATAGGGTAGTCTGACCACATATCTAAAGCTTTAATTAGTTGGGGGGAGGGGTTAGTCAGAACAAGTAAAACCTGTATCCTTCAGCTTTTCCGGTGAATGTGGTAAATCCCCGCCCACATGACACTTTTAAGTTGGCCTCTTACTAAGAACTTCTGATGACATCCAGGAGGTGGGGGAGGAATTAGGATGGCTTTCACAAGTGTGACCTATAGTCCCTTACTAGTCATTGATTTTCTTTATTATGGGGAAAAATATTTTCTCATATCCTATTTTAGTAGGACAGTGGGTGAAAAATTGTGTAGTGAGTGGTTTTTTTCCTTCTGAGCTCTTCTACTAGGAAAGGAAGCAATGACTGTACAAAGTACTATGGCATTCTAGTAGTGTGTTTCTTGTTGCTTAGTACACATTGTGCCTTCCTGAATCAGCGGCAACTTGTGATGCTGATAAGGGTAATTCAGTCTGAGGGAATTGATGAAAGCTGCTCTTAGGGAAGTTTGCCATTTTAAAGATAATATTTGTATCATTACCCAGTTAAAAAAATAATAAATAATTAATGAATACAATTAAATGTAAGCCGCGGGTGATTTAAAAACTAAGCAGTATACTCTCTTGTTTCAAGGATTTTTTTTTTGTGTGTGTGTCTTAAAAATTGAACCAACATACTCAAAGCAAAACAAGGAGAGAATTAGTAAATGCTACCTTGGGTGGTAGTGGTGATGATAAGCACAAAAATTCAGAGAAAGAAGTCTCACGGGGTTTTATGGAGGAACTTGCAAGTCTCTTAAAGGCTAATTAAAATCTAGGTGAGTAGAGGTGGTATAGATTGGGAGAGGCCAACTAAAAATGATCTTAATGATCACTCTAGCTTGAACCCATTCATTTCATAAATGAGGAAACAGACACCTTTAATTTAAAAGCAACCTGCCTCATCTATTACCACCAGGAGAGGCAGGGTCTGAATCAGCTCTTTAAGTGTCCTTCTCGTCACTACATATACTGAGTAGCTATCATTTGGATTTAATAGCTAAGGAGAAATCTGTCTTATACAATAAGTCAGTTCAGTAAAAGGCAAAATGGAAGTAACCCAATATAGGCTGATCCCATCTCTGATGTCCTGTGTGTAGTGCAAGCTGAGGACAAGTGAACAGCAGGGCCTGTCAGGTGTCAAACTAACCCTTATTCATGTTGTATACTATCAATAATAACTGTTTCTTACTTCTCGTTGGAAACTGAAGTCACCAATTTATTCGTGTTGGGGAGCCATTAGGTAGTGAGACTGAATGAAGCAGGCTAGACTTGATGCCACCGGGACTCAAGGTATGACCTGTAGTGAGCTGGAGTCCCTCACGGTCAGTTTTCTTGTTTCAGCTGATTGTTGGTCAGGTATACATGCAAAAGCTAAGTATTCACTGATGTTCTGATATTTAAAGAAAAACTTGAAACTGCTGATTTTTATTAGCACCAGCTAAAATTTTCAGTAATTCTTTGCTGGACACTAAAAATATCTTTATGGGCCTGTGCTAACCTACAGCTCTCTAGTTTTCACCTTATGCTTTAGTGATTCCCATTGCAGAGGGTTATTCTGTCTTATTCTGTCTTACACCTGTCTTAGTAATTTTGCGTTCTTTCTTAAAGCCATCTATAAAAAGGTTCTAATTACAATACATCCTGTTATGAAAAGAGAACACAGAACTTTACATAGTTATAGCAAAGAAGCTCTTGCAAGGAGAATTTTCAGATGGAAATTTTTCCCCCTTTGGGATACTCTTCACTGATACCTTCTGCCTTTTTGCTCCTGCACTATTTACAATACTTTCCTGTCCGAACTTTGCCCTGTTCTGCACAAAAATCTTTCCTTAGACACAATTGAAGTAGGAGCTTGATGGCTTTAAAATAGCTTCGCTAAATGTTTATAGAGATTAAAGTGAAAGGCCTACACATTTAGGACATAATCTTTTTTTCCTAAACACAGATTTTAATCTGAACAATTACGCTATCCTATGAGATTAATTTTTACTCTATTTAGGTGTAAGAAATGTTGATTGCATTATCATTGTCATCATGGTTGTTGAATTGAGCTCTGAGTTCCCATCTCACTGTAAATCCACATGACTTACAAAGGGCAAAAATATATGAAGAAGTTTCTCTGGTCTCTGTCCATCACTGCTGGTTAATCCATTAGAAATTTAGGAGTTTTCATTTTTAGGAAGGATATTGGATGCATTCTATCTAAAAAAAAAAAGGAACCATGATTTCTTCTTGGTTCAGTTCTTTCCGGGCTAGAAGCTGGGTTTGCATAGCAGACACACTGTGTTTTTCTTTTTAAATTTAGAATGTGTATTAAAGGTGGTGGGAGAGGGGGTTGGGATTGAGGGTAGCAATTACAGGGATTGTAAAAAGGGAGGCTGAAATTCTCCCTAGTCACTACTTGGCACCAAAGCATATATGATGAGTCAAGTCCAAATGATTTCCTGAAAGACATGGCTCATTTGTAAGTTTGTTGAGACTGTCAGCATTGGGGTCCCAAGTCCAGCCTCTTTCCCCAGGTTTTGGCTTTTCTGAGGAGCTGAAAGGATGTGAATTTGGGTTGTACCCTTCCTTAGTTTTGGCAATGTCTGCCACTTCCGAACCTTAGAGGAAGCCTCCGAACCTTAGAGGAAGCCGTCCCATCTCTAGGCCTTCACCACCAAAGTTCTTTACTTTTCCCAGGACATTCTTGTTCTTTTCAAAAAATTGTGGTCTGAATATAAGGAAAATTTTCCCTAACCTTGTCCCTCCCTCCAGTTTAGATCCCCTCTTTACTCTTTGTGGGGCTGAGAATCTTAGGTGCCTGGGTTATCTCTTATTCTCAATTTATCAAAAATATAGCTCTGTGATACTCAGTCTTCACTGACATCTTTCTGGACTTTTTTTCTTTTTTTTAACTTTTTGCTTCTTGTCTTTCCCTACTTTGGTAGCATCTTTAGGACAATTATGTCCTTTAAAAGCCTAATATTCAGGTTCAATTCCCCTGCATATCAAGAAAACTCACTCCTACACTGTTAAAAAAAAAAAATGTTCTGTCCACAGAACTGCATAATACAGAGACCACAGTATCCCATTTTCCCACATGATAATTGTTTTTATGACTTTTAAGTTTGGTGCAAAGTGTCCTTAAAGGTGCCAGATGAGCTCTGAGTAAAGTGGTAAGGAGAGACCTCACAACTCACTCTGTTTCCATGCAGTTTTGTACTGAAAAGGAGCCTGTGTATTTCTGAATAAACGAAGGTCAGAGACTGAAATGTCAGTTCAGCTTTCCACTTTTAAAAACGCTAATAGTGGGTCAAATGCCATTAACATCAAAAACATATTGATAGATAATAACAACTTATTCTTGGTTGAACATCATGGTTTCAAAGCAGTGAAAGTAGATTATCTCTGAGTTTTCTATGAGTAGCCTTTGTTTTGTATTCATTTACCTTGGAAGTAACTGAGGCTCAA